CCATGGCCAGGCTCCCACCTGGGCCTCAGAGCCAGCATCCTCCCCACAGGCAACGGCTGAACCATCTCCAGCTGCAGTCGGCACTGCTCAGCCTGCAAACAAACCCCATGCGAGAGTGAGTTCTGGGCCCCGGGCACGGGAACAGGCCCTCGGCACCCATAAGACTCCGCTACTGCCCTGCTGAGGGGCCCTGCTGCCCTGCCAGACCCCAAGGCCATCCACTGCCTGCACCACAGAAAACAGCCTGGCAGCTCTGGGATGAGCCAAGACCCGCAACGCTCCTCACAGCCCCTAGGCCAGCCCAGTCTCAACCAGACATCCCTGTGGGTCCAGCCCTGTCAGCAACACCCTGGCCCTGGTACAAGCTCTTCAGCATGGAGATCTTGGCCCCCTGCCCCAGCCGAGGTTGCTCCAGATCCTCCCTCCTGTGACGGGTCATAGCCCACAGCCCAGACCAGGGCACTTGCCTCTCTCTGCTCCTTCGTCCGCCTCCTCCTTCACCTGGAACAGCTCCCGCATGCTGCACACCAGCCCAGCACGGGCAGCAGCCCGCTCTGAAACGGCAAGCAAACTCCCTCCAGGCCAGCTGCAGGCACAGCTGCCGGCAGAGCTGCCAGCAGAGCCTTGCCAGGGTCCAGGACATTGCTCACCTTCGGCACCCCCCAGCACAGCAGTGCAGCCACCCCCAAACTGAGCACGCGGCCAGACCCAGTCCTTGCGTGACATCTCCAGCTGATGCGTTCCCTCCCACCGGGCCACAGGCAAGAACAAAAGCACCCGACCTTGAGCTCCCACAAACATCTTGCCTGGTCAGCGTGACCACGGTCACCCCCAGCCATTATGTCCAGCCCCATCCCCACGTTGGCCCAAAGGCCCGGGGTGACAGTGCGGAGGCTGACCAGTCCCACGCTGAGCTTGGGCGATGGAGCCACAGCCCATCTCCAACCACCACATGCCCCTGAGCCAGCTCTGTTCTGCCCTATCCTGTCTCCTTCAGTTCAGCATTAAAGTCCAGAGACACGGGACCTCCCAAATTCCCTGAGGCAGGGAAGACAGCGGTCTTTGCAAGGAAAGCAGTGGCGAACACTGTGACAACCAGTCTGTACACAGGGCAGTACAATAATCACACCCCTCACCATCCCAAGTCTCCATGGCTCTCCTCTCCAAGGAGAACCATGGCTGAAGCTCCAACTTTCCACTGGAATTCAAGTGCACAAGAGCCGCAGACTCAGCCCAGCCAGACGCCAGCGTTTGCAGCTGCAGACACAAGCTCCTTAGCCCAGCCTGCATCGGGAAGTTCCTAGTAACGGCTAGCTGGAGGGAGCTCAGAGAAAAATGGGCAAATCAAAATTACCATCACTCGCAACTCCCTCTTAGGGTTAGCTCAGAGGAGAGCAGAGAACATCTCACTGCCACAAAGTGCTTCCTCCACAAAGGTTGGATCCTGAACTGTCCCAGGAGGAGAGAGAGCTCCTCCGTGTGCCCTGCAACGCAGGGCAGCAGGACCTGAAGCCTGGTGGGGAGTGGTCACTTCTGACAAGTGCTTCCCCACGTGCTAAGTGCTGCACTAAAACCTGCATCACCCAAGCTGCTGCTGAGTTTGTAGAAGAGATAACCAAGCCAAGAGACCAAGTGACCAGAAGCCAAGTGATTACAGGAGAGAAGAGATAAATCTGTCAGTTTTCCCTTCCTTACAAGCTCACGAGTCCATGGCTACACCATAACCCCTCCTGACAGCAGAGTCAGTCCCTCCACTGTTCTCCTCGCTCTTTCCTTATCTATACCCCAAAAAGTTGCACTCTACACTTTACACCTCCACAGCATTGCTGGATCCCTCCACCTCTAACAGCCTCTGCTGGTTTTTCCATTTGAGCACAGCTAGAACAGCAGAAGCCCTGGCACGGGAAGAGGCACGGCTCAAGTAAGACCAAGGAGTCTGATTACACCTGCTGTGCTGGGAACGAGCAAGGTGCTGCACCGTGTCAACCCAGGTGATAAAGCACCTTCCAGTGAGCTGGCAACTGAAGAGCTCATGGAAACTGGGCTGAGATTGGATTTAAATGGTTGTTAGAGCATGGGAGGTACTGCAGGAGGACAGCAGGAAGGAACGTGCTCAAACACAGCAGAGGGCAGTGGGATCCCTGATTCAGGTGACTGACGCCGTCACCGTGGACTCTGCCTGGCAGAACAGCAGTAGCCACCACCGGAGCAGCAACAACGGCTGCGCCGACACTTCAGACATCAGCTGTCTGACCAGCAGGGCCAGCCTGCAAGGAGATGCCATGGGTTTGCGCGGCTCCTGCACTGGGACTGCAACACCTTGGCTAAATGGCCGGGGCTGCGCAACACAAGTGAAGAAGCACCGGCAGGGATCTAAGGGGTACCCCTCTGGCCCCGAGGTACCTGTCAACGAGGAATCATTGCTGATGACACGGCATGGCCATGGTTCCCCTGGGACTGCCACAAAGTCCAACACATTCGACTCCCTCAGGGACCTGCAAATAAACAAAACCTATCCATGAAGAGGCTCAGCAGCAGCAGCTCACACAGCCATGGTCACTTGGGTGTCAGACAACTCTACTGATGGAGCCGCAGAGAAGGCAGAATGAGTCCTGCAGATGGGGACCAGATCCAGGGCATGGACCTAGGCATCAGTGAGGACGAGCACAAGATATGGCTGAGCAGAGCAAGGCTGCTGCCCCCAACAAACACAGCTGCATGCCAGTCATCCCTGGAGACGGGCCAAACCATGGTGCGGCCAAACAAGCCCCCAAGCAGGGTAACCAGGGGCCCTCCTCCCCAAGAAGCAGGACACAAAGCCCTAGATGTCCCTGGTCTGCACAACGCTGGGACTGTGGAAACAGAAGCTGCAGGAAGCCAATGAAAGTAGAGGGAACGTGACAGCATGAGACAGCTGAGCTCCCCTGGGAGCAGAGGTGTGACTGGGTTGCATGAGGAGCTATCACAGCACCCATGGGGCGCAGCAGGCTCCTTGCCTGGCAGGGTCAGAGCACATCTGAGTGTCCAGGAGCCAAGCCATGCAAACTGGGTGAGATTTTCTGGGAAGAGGGGTTATGAACCACAGGGATATGCCAGGTGAAATCAGGAGCTCCATCACATGAGGGCCCATCACCTACACGCACTCCTGGGAGAACCAGGCAATAGGGCTCAGCTCTGCAGTCCTTGATAGAGCTCTGGCCAGCAGGTTAGGGCTGGCAGAGGTAATGGCCACGGAGGACCCACGGCACAGCCTTGGTGCCTCAACACTAGGGCCACTCCTGGGCTTGTTCTGCAGCTGCCTCGCCTCCTGTGCTTGGCTGTGGGGAGCTGGGCTCCCCTTCCTCTGCAGCCAGTTCCCAGAGGGATCACCGCGATTACAGAATAATTCAGGTGGAAAGGGACCTCAAGAAGTCTCCAGTTCACTCTTCTGCGCAAATCAGGGTCAGCTCAGTGGTTAAGGGCTTTACGCCAGCAGGCTCTTGAAAACCTCCAAGGATGAAGACTGCACAACCTCTCTGGGCAACTTGATCCATGACGGAACTTGTTCCACTCCTCAGAACAGTACAATGGAGCAGGACCCTGGTGGGCATCTCCAAAGGATGGTTTCAGTCACCTCTGGAGATCAGACCACGGGCAGGACGGCAAATCCCTCTCTGCACTCCCAAAAGCCCCAGATCTCTCATCCAGGCTGAGAGGATCTCAGCGCTGGATGCACCAAGATGGTGAAAGACTGGAGCACTGCTCCAGACTCATCACTACCCAACTATCCTCCTGCATGCCTGTTCTCTAGCCTGTCCGCTCACCCCTCCCTCTT